TTTTCAACCTCTTGTAGCAAACATGACAATAGATTTTTTTAACAGCAGGGATATAAATGACTTCACTGGAATCAAAATTAAAACAATAAATAGTTCACATACAATATCAGTCTCCTGTTTCAGTATGAGTATAGATCGTAGTATTTTTAATTCAACAGTAGATAGTTTTTTGGCAGTTCCACTGCTTAATGTGGGATCAATTACTCAACAGTATAACTACTCTATTTTGAATAAAAATGATAGTTATAATACAGATTCACAAACAGTAGCGGCAATTGTGGTTTGTGATACAATTGAAGCTGGAGGAGTATCGCTTACTTATTCTAATACTTCAATTCCTGGTGATTACTTTGGAATTTTTGATCAACATGGAGTTTGTTCCTCACAGATTAGGTTTAAAACGTACTACACTCCTTCTATTTCTACTCTGCCACCTGGTACTGATGTTAATGCCATTCAACCTATAGGGTTTATGATTGGCCATGCATGTGTTTCTGGCTACACACCTTACTGTGATTATCTCATTGAACAAGTACCTCCATCATATACATGGGGATACAACTTTTTGATAGGGCCAATTAGACCTACTTTTATAGGATATGAAACTATATTTTTGAAATTTTTCCCTGGTAAAGAAATTGGTACTAATTTTAAAATATTTTGTGCTAATAGTACTTCAGTGACCATAAATGTACTAGTTCAAAACTTCACAAAAACAGATCATATGAATTTAAGTAGAGGTATTTTTAACATTGGTCTTCAAAACTACTGTACTGTACAGTCAAACAAACCTCTTGCAGTGATGCTGTATTTTGAATATTTTCATTTGATACGTGATTCAGTTCCTGATATGGTATGGATGCCACCTGTCAGTCAGTACCTAAATAGATATTTAGTAGCAATTCATCCCACACTCTATTCAATTTTCAGAGGTGTATATGTGACAGTTTTACCTCATTGTTTTGATGCTAGTGCTGTATTAGATAATGGTATTCCACTTGAAAGAAATGCTAGTAACTGGCATACTTTTCACTGTGATAACATCACTGATTCATGTGGTTATGGTATTTCTGTTAATATGCAACATCTAGGAACTCATTTGTTAGAGCATACTGATCCAAGCTGTTCATTTGGTGCAATCATGTTTGACTGGAGATTTGTTAAAGGTTATGCTTATCCTGCTGGTTTTGGCATGAGACCCATTGGAGGTAATTCAGATTACTATAATTCTTGTAATGTGTCATACTCTTGTGTGGCATTCATTCATGGGTTCTATATTTCCTATAGTGACATTTTACAGTATTGAACCTCTTAATTCATCAGCACCAGAGAGTGGTCTAGTATCTGTTACTGTGTATAGGTCTGGTGATGTATCTGAAGCTAGTTTAGTTCGAGTGGGAACGTTTTTGTCGTGTAAGATAGCTAGTCTAACATACTTTTATAAATTTTAATTTTTTTCCTCTGCAGCAAAATCTAACGCAGCAATGAGTGAGAAGCTATATAATATCACATAGATCTATATTATAATTTGTTTTTTATAGTTGGAGAAGATCTGGAGAATCAAACAAAAACTATAAAATTTGCTGCCAATGAATTTTCAGCTACAGTTAATTTTAGTTTTTTGAGTGACTCCATTTCAGAATTAGATGAAGTGTTTTTAGTTGGTTTTCTTAAAGATCAGAAAATCAACATTGGGACACCATCAGAAGTTGAACTGACTATTCTTGGTGTGGACTGTAAGTTTTGATGCTTAATGAATAACATACATGTACATCACAGTTAAAATTAATATTTTTAATAAAAAAGAAGGCTTCATGTGGTATTACATATACACATAGTAGTCTGTTCATATTATTTTTAACAGTGATTTTTGAAACATGCCAAATTTTTATGGCATTATTTTTACTTTTGTGTTTGCATTCTATTTTTAGCTAATATTGTGAAGTTTACTGCTGATAATTATTGTGTGCACGAGGGCAATACTTCAGTTTATGTGTGTGTAGAAAAGAGTAGAGATACTACTGATAGTCTAAAACTTGAGATTACAGCTATGGAAGATGCAACACAATCTGCTGCTGAAGGTAATTCATACTTTTAAAATATGTAACCATTATCATTTATATTTCAATCACAAACAATAGAGTCATAAATAACATTCATTTATCTTAAGCTTTTTTAATAGATATATTTGATTTTGTTGCTGAAACAAAAACTATTACCTTTCTTGGGTCAAGTCCACAAGTTTGTGTTCAATTTCAAATAATACAAGACCCTTTTTTTGACTTTAAAGAACCCCTTGAAACATTTTATGTCAACTTTACTGCTACAGGGGATTTAGGTGGTGGTCAAATGACAGCTACTGATAAATCTATTGTAACAATATTTGAAAGTCTGCCAGAAAGTAAGCAATAATAAGATTAATAAATTAAACTCACTCATCAATGAGCTTCCTACTGATGCCATTCCTATTCCTTCCTATATATGCGTAATGATTATTAGTGATATTCAAATTAAAATAATGAATATATATGTGTAACATTTCTATTCCTATTCATAGTTTTTGCTGACAGTATTTCAGGAGCTAATAGCATTTTTGCACCAGAAAGTCAAGAAAATTTGACTGTTTGTGTTAACAGAACCTTCAATTTTTCATGTACTAGTAATGTTACTTTCAGAGCCATGGATAGTGCATTAAGTATTAATGGTAAGAAATTGAACTAATAGTACTTTCAGTCAGCATTTTTATAGCTAAATCTGGTAGTGACTTTGTTGCAGAGATTATAGACGTGCCATTCACATCGGATGATCTCAGAGTTTGTGCAACCTTCATGATTATAAATGATGACATTGTTGAAAAGAATGAGTCATTTCTTATTACTGTAATAGCACCAGAACACATACCAGCAACATTAGAAATCAAAATTACAATCACTGATGAAGATGATGGTGAGTATTTCGTTCATAAACATTTCTCAAACTGAGGAATATTGTTAGCATTAAAAGGATTTGATTAAATCATTATAATTTCTTTTTCTTGTGCAGCTGCTGTAATAAAATTTTCAAATGATACATATACTTTTCCTGAGAATATTGACATGGATGCTCAAGTCTGTGTAGAGACTACAAAAGCGCTTAGTGATGACATTAGTATAAATTTCAGAACAAGGTCTAGTGATGTTAATGGTGCTGCTACTGGTAGGTGGAGAAGTTGTATTGTTCATTTTGCATGCTGCAGCTTGATATCTTGGCTGGCCTTTTCAAACACATAATACATGTAGTAACTTAAAGCATAAAATTTTTTGCCAAACTATCAATTCATAAATTGTCTTTTATTTTTTGTACATTTTACAGCTGTTTTAGATTACATCTCCAAATTTGAAACCAAGACACTTAGAAATGAATCAAAGGCAGTTTGTTACAATATTGAAATAAAGCCTGATGTTACTAGAGAACCTACAGAATTCTTTTATGTGGAGTTTGAAGTTCTTAATTTAGTTGAACTAATGAACAACAGTTACTATGGTTTGTCAAGACTCAATGTATCAAACAGTGAACCAGCAGTTGTGTACATTATGGATACATCTGTAACAGGTTATTATGCATACAATTATGTAACAATTAGACCATTGCTTAATATGTTTCATTTGTTTTATACTTTAGGGTGTGAGTCAGTTTATGCTGATTTGGTTTTGCTTATTTCAGAATCATCGAGTATGCAAAAAAATCAGTTCACAATGGTGAAGGACCTTGCTAGTGCAATATTAAATCAATTACCAATTGGCAAAAATACAACACATGCTGGTATAGTTAGGCTCAGTAATTCAAACCGAACACAAGTTATTTCTCCTCTTGGCAATGTCACTGATTTAAAACAATTAAAACAAATCGTTAGAAATATCAGCATAGATGATGAAGATGATAGAGGTTTGGCAACTCATCTAAATTATTCAATGAATTTAACTCTGAATGAAATTAAAAAGAGAGGGAGACCAAATTCAAGGAAAATTATTGTGATAATAACTGATGGTCTTCATTCACATGAACCATCACCTTATGACTTAGCAAGAATGGCCAGAGTGCTCGGCTATGATATATTTGCTGTTCGATTTTTTAAAAATAGTTCACTTTCTGATTGGGAAAAGCTAACTGGTTATAAAGAACGAGTGCTGTTCTTGAATACATTTAATAGTGGTCAGTCAGAAAGAGCAAATTTATTCATAAGTCAGATCTGCAAAAATATTAGTAAGTGATATTTACCAATAATTAATGCATTGTTTTGAAAGAAAACTTCTTACCTTTCAGGTGTTGGTTCCCAGTTATTGAACACTATTGGAGAAAAAAAGATAAAAAATGTTGGAGAAACTGTATCAGTTAATTGTACTGCAGATGGAGTACCAGTGCCAAATATAGTGTGGCGAAAAGATGGAAAGTATATAATCCCAGAATCAAACAGAAGAAGCACTTTATCATCAAATGTTACTGATGGCTTTCGTATAAATGATATACCACAAGTAAAGCAGAGGACCAGTGAACTGATCATTACTGATCTAACTATGTCTGACACTGGCAGTTATTCATGTAGAGCTGATAATGGAGTGATAGAGA